GAGAGAGTCAGGAGCTCAGGGTCCCACTCTGGCCACCGACAAGCACCAGGTCACACGGACAGTGTCTGTGGTCCAACGCCCATATTGCCGCCCTCTCAGCAGACACCAGTGTTCACACTTCAGGTGAGCGTGCGTGGGACCACTCAACGCATACCTGAGGAGCAACCTACAGGCACCTCGGGGGCAGCCTGTGTACACCTCCTAGGGGCAGCCTGTGTACACCTCCTAGGGGCAGCCTGTGTACACCTCCTAGGGTCAGCCTGTGTACACCTCCTAGGGTCAGCCTGTGTACACCTCCTAGGGGCAGCTTGTGTACACCTCCTCAGGCAGCCTACAGACACCTTCTCGAAGCCAGAGCGGCGGCCACAGTGCACCTGACTTTAGCCAGCCCCTCACAGTAGCTGGCCTGGGACGTGGAGGAATCCTTTTTCCCTTGCCGATGGCCGCGCTGCGCTCTGGTATTTCTAGAAGCGGGGCCCCCGTGTTAGACACCAGTATTTTTCCAGTTTTTCTACGTCATGAAGGACGCTGCCGTCAGCGTCTGTGCTGGTCAGTCTTGGCCTCTTTTGCTGGTCAATTTCTTTACAAATATTTGGAAGAGTCGTTGCTGGATCAAAGGTCTTCATGATTTGCCCTCCCCCCGTGGGCTGGGCATAGGGGTGGTGGGAGTTCTGGGGCGTCAAGGAGACGAGTCTCCCCCTTGTGAACCTGAGGGTGGGCGAGGGAGCGGGGTCCCCGGGGAGGACTGCCTGGAGGCGGCGGCCACAGCGCGGTGTTCGCCCGCAGGAGTTGGTTGAGTACTACCAGTGCCACTCGCTCAAGGAGAGCTTCAAGCAGCTGGACACCACGCTCAAGTACCCCTACAAGTCTCGGGAGCGCTCCGCCTCCAGGGCCTCCAGCCGGTCCCCAGGTAACACCCAGGCCTGACGGCGCACCGGCACTCCCGGGGGTGGGGCTCCGCTCCGGCCCCTTCCAGGGCCCAGGCCCTCCCCCGCCTGTGCGTGTGGCAGACAGGACCGCCAGCGCCTGCTCTGATGCGCTACTCTGTGACTCGGGCCGTTGCCCAGAGATGGGGGGGGGCCCAGGCGGAGCCCCCACACCTGTCATTGGCCCTGGTGGGAGGCAGCGGGCAGGCGTCCCTGACCACGGGCCTCAGCACCCGGCCCCCGGCCTGCACTGCCAGCCCGATCACAAGAGGGGACCCCACCTGGAGGAAGGCCACCTGGAGTCAGGGGCAGGCCCAGAGCGCGTGGCCTCCAGCCCAGGACTCTGTCCACTGAGCCACCGCACATCCTGCGGCCTGCAGGGCCACAGGTGCCACCTGGGCAGAGGGGGACAGGAGCAGGTGGACCGGCCTTAGGGAGCACTGCCGGGGGCCGCGGCAACAGCCCGCGTGGTTGGGGGGGGTCCTGTTTTCTATGGAGGAGCAGGGCAGGGCGTGGCTCGAGTTGTGGCCGGGGGCTGTGCTGTCCCACCGCCTTGGCCCCTCGCCCCTTGTCCCCCGCCCCTTGTCCCCCGGCCCCTTGTCCCGCCCCGTGTCCCCCGCCCCGTGTCCCCCGCCCGTGCCTGCCTGCGACCGCGCAAACCCACCCTCCCGCCTGTCTCACCTCCTGTCTCGCCTCTTTGCAGCTTCCTGTGCTTCCTACAACTTTTCTTTTCTCAGCCCTCAGGGCCTCAGCTTTGCTTCCCCGGGCCCCTCCGCTCCCTTCTGGTCAGGTACCGCTGCTGCCGGGGCGTGGGGGCCGGGCCGCGGCCCTGCCTGCCGTGGCCACCGCTGCCCCAGCCCGCCGAGGGGTTGCAGGGAAGCGGGGCCGGGGGCTGGGTGGGCGGGGGCTGCTGCCGGCACCCAAGGACAGGCTTGGCCCAGCTCTTGCCGCCGACCCCCGTGGACGTGCCCACCCTGGCGGCCACTTCCCCAGCCCTGCCAGCCGTCCTCCTCTTCGTTCCCGCGGGCTTGGCCTCTGGTAGCCGCGTGGCCACGGGGGGACCTGGGGGGGGCTCGGGTGCAGGAAGGGTGGGGTTTGGTCAGCCCCGACCACGTGGCCTTCTGCTGCCAGAGTCAACACCCCTCCATGTGTGTCCCCTCCGCCATGGTCACTGTCCCCTGTCCATCAGGACTCCTGGGTCCCAGGCTGAGCTGGTTGAACCAGGTCTCCCGTTTGGTTTGGGCCCCGGAATCGGGGACCACAGGAGCTGTCGTGGCCAAAGGCGGTTCTTCCCGGGGCAGGCGGCTTGTGTCAGGCTCCCGGACAGTGGAGGGCCTGCCAGGGCCTGGCGTGTCTACTAAGGTCACACCCTCTCGGGCTTCAGGACACCCCTTCCCCAGACCACCCCCCCTCCGCACTGCCCCGGCCCAGCCAGTGCAGCTGGAGGGGGCCCCTGCTTATAGCGTGACTAAATCATACCTGCCGTTAACTGCGAAGTTGGACTCGAGGGCCACTGATGAGAGAGTCAGGAGCTCAGGGTCCCACTCTGGCCACCGACAAGCCACCAGGCTTCACACGGACAGTGTTCTGTGGTCAACGTGCTATTTGACCGCCGCTCACGCAGACACCAGGTGTTCACACTTCGGTGTGAGGTGCGTGCGACCACTCAACGCATGACCTGAGGAGCGAACCTACAGGGCACCTCAGGGCAGCCTGGTGTACACCTCCTCAGGGCAGCCTGTGTACACCTCCTAGGGGGCAGCCCTGTGTAACCTCCTCAGGAGCAGCTGGTGTTACAGCCTGCTCACAGGCAGCCTGTGTACACCTCCTCAGGGGCAGCCTTGGTGTACACCTCCCTCAGGGGCAGCCTGTGTACACCTCGCTCAGGGCAGCCCTGTTGTACACCTCCTAGGGCAGCCTGTGACACCTCCTCAGGGCAAGCTGGTGTACACCTCCTAGGGCGCGCTGTGTACACCTCCTCACAGCCAGGCCTGATATGACACCCTCGCTCACAGGCAGCCGTGTGTACACCTCCTCAGGTGCTAGCCTTGTGTTACACCTCCTCAGGGTGCTAGCCTTGGTGTACACCTCGCTCAGGGGGCAGCCCTGCTGCTACACCTCCTCAGGGCAGCCTGTGTACACGCTCCTCAGGGCGGCAGCCTGTGTACACCTCCTCAGGGGCAGCCTGTGTACACGCTTCCTCAGGGGCAGCCTATGTGTACACCTCGCTCACAGGCAGCGTAACACCTCGCTTAGGGCAGCTGCTGTGTATACCTTCTAGGGGCCAGCCTGGTATGCCACCTCCTCGGTGTAGCCGTGGTGTACACCTCGCTCAGGGTTGTAGGCGCCGGGGTGTGACACCTCCTCAGGGGCAGCCTGTGTACACCTCCTCAGGGCGCAGCCTGTGTCACCAGCCTCCTCGGCAGCCGTGCACGTCCTCAGGAGCTGTGTACACCTCCTCAGGGCGGCAGCCTGTGTACACCTCCTCAGGGGCAGCCTGTGTACATCCCTCCTCAGGGTCAGGCCTGTGTACACCTCCTCAGTTGGCAGCCTGTGTACACCCTCCTCAGGGCAGCCTGTGTACACCTCCTAACAGGGCAGCCTGTGTACACCTCCTCCCAGGGGCAGCCTGCTGTACACCTCCTCAGGGGCAGCCTGTGTACACCTCTTCCACAGGCATCCTGTATACAACCTCCTCACAGGCAGCAATGTGTACACCTCTAGGGCCAAGCCTGTGTACACCTTCCTAGGGGCAGCCTGTGTACACCTTCCTAGGGGCAGCCTGATGGTACACCTCCTAGGGGCAGCCTGTGTACACCTCCCACTAGGCAGGCCTCGTATACACCTCCTTCACAGGCAGCCCTGTGTAACCACTCCTCAGGTGTAGCCTTGTGTACATCCTCCTCAGGTGTAGCCTGTGTACACCTCCTCAGGGGCAGCCTGTGTACACCTCCTCAGGGGCCAGCCTGTGATACACCTCCTCAGGTGGGCAGCCTGTGTACACCTCCTCAGGGGCAGGCCTGTGTACACCTCCTCAGGGGGCAGCCTGTGTAGCACCTCCTCACAGGCAGCCTGGTGTACACCTCCTCAGGGCAGCCTGTTTACACCTCCTCAGGGGCAGCCTGTGTTAACACTCTCAGGGGGCAGCCTGTGTAGCCACCTCCTCAGGGGCAGCCTGTGTACACCTCCTAGGGGCAGCCTGATGTACACCTCCTCCACAGGCAGCCTGTATTACACCCCTCCACAGGCAGCCTGTGTTACACCTCCTCAGGGTGTAGCTTGTGTACACCTCCTCAGGTGTAGCCTGTGTACACCTCCTCAGGGGGCAGCCTGTGTACACCTCCTCAGGGGCAGCCTGTGTACACCGCTCCCTCAGGGGCAGCCTGTGGTACCACCTTCCTCAGGGCAGCCTGTTGTACACCTCCTCAGGGGCAGCCTGTGTACACCTCCTCCACAGGCAGCCTGTATACACCTCCTTAGGGCAGCCCTGTGTATACCTTCTAGGGGGCAGCCTGTATGCACCTCCTCAGGTTGTTTAGCTGTGTACACCTCCTCAGGTGTAGCCTGTGTACACCTCCTCAGGGGCAGCCTGTGTACACCTCCTCAGGGGGCAGCCCTGTGTACACCTCCTCAGGGCACCTGTGTACACCTCCTCAGGGGGCAGCCATGTGTACACCTCCTCAGGGGCAGCCTGTGTACACCTCCTCACAGGCAGCCTGTATACACCTCCTTAGTTGGGCAGCCTGTGCTATACCTTCTAGGGGGCAGCCTGTATGCACCCTCAGGTGTAGCCTGTGTACACGCCTCCTCAGGTGTAGCCTGTGTACACCTCCTCAGGGGCAGCCTGTGCTACACCTCGCTCAGGGCAGCCTGTGTACACCTCCTCAGGGGCAGCTGTGATACGCTTCTTTAGGGGCAGCCTTGTGTACACCTTCGTAAGGGCAGCTTGTGTACACCTCTGTCGGGGCAGCCTTGTGTACACCTAGGGGCAGCTTGAATACACCTTCACAGGGGCAGCCTGTGTATACCTCCTCATATACCATATATACACCCTCCTAGGGGCGCAGCTTGTGTACACCTCCCTCAGGGGCAGCCTGTGTACACGTCCTAGGGGG